CAGCCATTAAAAAAGATGAAATACTGCCATTTGCAACAACATGGATGGAAATTATCATTGAGATTATCATGCTAAGTGAAAAGTCAGACAGAAAAACTCCACCATATGATGTCACACTCATATGTGGGATATAAAACTGAAGGCAACAAAGGAAAAAGACAAAGAAACAAAAACTCCTAGACACAGACAATAATTTAGTGGTTACCAGAGGATACAGGGAGATAATGGGAGATGGTAGAACAGTGTAAAGGGGGTCAAATATATGGTGATGGAAAGAGAACTGACTCTGGGTAGTGAGCACACAATGCAATATATTGATGATGTATTATAGAATTGTACACTTAAAACATATATAATTTTATTAACCAATGTAACCCCAAAGAATTTAATTTAAAAAAAGAGACAGCAATACTGACAGGGACTTTAAGTTGCTGTTCTTGGCAAAAACTACTTTAAAAATTATGGCAAAGAATCCATTTCTATTTATACTGAAACAAGCACACAAAAACCACAACTTGAAGCCCAATTTTAATACATGCAAGAGAACAAGCAATACAATAAAATATTTATAAATATGAGAACTAAAACACTTTTCACATTTCTTTTTGGAAAATAATTTTGTTTATTGCTAGAATTTACTTTGACTCCTCACCAATCAACATAAAATGTGTATTGGAGGAAACTGAAAGAGGGAAGAGAAAACGTGCTAGTGTAATCTGAGGATGATACAATATTTGGGGGAGTTTACGATGGCAACTGTCCACTGAGACCTAGGTAAGGCAGATTAAATAGCAAAAATTCATGGCTCTTTCCTTGGTGGGGTTAGAGAGAATGCTGTCATGCTCTGATTCTAGACTCTATTTCAGGAAAGAATCCCTTGGACTCGGAATCACAGCCTTCAGCGTGGAAGCTAAGCTGACGTGGCATACTGTATTATATCTTTGCCAGTACAACGGATGATTAATAATTTTTTGAATAATTGAATAAATGAATGAATAATGAATAGTGTTTGAATTCTGTGAGGCCCAGAAGTGTCCCCTAGAGCTCCAGAGTAGTCCATTGATTCATGTCCCTACATGATTCTTTCACAAGCCCAGGTCACTTAAAGATGGTGCTTCAATCCGAGCACATCCGTGGTAGTTACTCTGAATACTTCTAACTTAAAACTTTGAAAAATATTACAGCACATGATCATCTACAGTCTTTTGGAGAGAATGTGTGAATGTAAATTAAGACAACTGTGTCCTAGGCCAACTTCTCTTCTAATTAATTATATAAGTGGTAAATCACTGAACCACTCCTGTCCAAGGTTCCTCATCTGCAAAATAATCTTTTAGAGAGATGGGTAAAAAATTTCTAAAGACGCTCTTAGTTCAAAAGTTTTACAGTTTTAGAGTTGGGAAACCTATCTATAATCTCTATGGACATTAAATAACTTCTCATTAAATAGGTAATCCTTTCCCCACCAGAAAAATCATCATGGGAAATGTGGCTTCATTTAGGGAGATAAAATTACAAAACAATTAATGAATCAAAGAAATCTGTTTCATTTGGACACTACAGACATATTGCATAGTTTATGCGGTTTTTATGTGCTTTACAAAACCTGATATGACATGTATAGGATTGATTAATAATGTTATAGTAGAAAGGTAGTGTCATGGTTATGCAACGGGTTGGATGTAAGAAAATCCTGATTTTGGTTCCCATCTCAGTCAGTCTTCCTCTACTTGAATGACCTTGTGACACACTCAGTCTCGGTTGTACACCTTATATTGGAGATGCTGCTACTGATAATAATAATGAATAATAATAATAATAATAATAATAATGATGATAATGATAATAACAATAATAGAAGCTGTTCCAAGTTTATTGCGGGACACTACAAAGATAATGTTTGCAAAGTGTATGGCACAGATCCCTGGTCCACATAAGTGCTTGTTAAGCACTGATTAATTCTGTTATAATTGTATTTCCTATTTTGCAAGCACTGAGAATTGAAGTAGGCAAAGTTAAGCTTTATAAGTGGTTTACAAAATAATTAAAGATATATTTTAACCAGTTTTGGAAGAGATCTTGTTTTCAGCCAACGGAACACATCAACACTTGCATGCTTGTTTAGCTTTAACTTTCTTTGCCAGACTAAAGAACTTGATAGCAATTGAAGCAAACTCTTGGTGATTTTATCAATATATTCATGGATTTTTAAAAAAGAAAATATGAAAAATAGATTTGAAAGTTTTGAATAAAAATATTTTCACACTGATGTACAACCTGTTTTCAGACATTTTTCCTTCATTCCTCTCTAGCGTTATTTAAAATTTTGAGATCTGAGAAGTTTTCAACTGGGTTCTACTCTATCATTACCCATGAACAGGCAAATAAGAATTTTGCATAATCGTTTTTGTTTACTTCTGATTTTCAAAGGGGGAAACATCCATAACTGCAAAATTTAAAAGTACAGGAAAGCACAAGAAACACACACAAAAGAAGCAGACATAATTTTATCACCAAGAGTAATAACAACATCCTAACATTTGAGGCACTTGTATATAGATAGCATTGTGTTAAGAAAAGGAACATTATTATTTTTTATATTTAATTTGTTTTACTCCTCTGTTAAGCTTTCTTTGCTAGTCTTGGCCTAAAACACAGGGAAGTATGAACATGTTTTATTTATATAGAGAGACTAATACTCCCTCAGAAGCACAGTAATTAAAATGCAATTATTTACATGTCAAAAGGAAGGCATGTTCAAACGCACTGAAATTACTCTAAAACAGGAAAAAAGATACTCAAAATTCCTAAAAGTGGGATTCATTTTACCTGATAAGGGAATTCAACAGGGAATCAGGGGTTGAATAGTGCTTTTGTGCACCTAAAAGTAAACTGATCAAAACACTAAAGCATAACATAACGTAACATAATGTATATAACATAACATAATGTGTGTGTGTGTATATATATGCATATATACATATATATATGCATATATATATGTATATATATATATATGCAATGCTGCAATATCAAGGAAATGGACTAAAATATTAAAGGGCCTTCTCAGCTTTGATGGCCAAATTCCATCCTGTAAGCAGTGCATTAGACGCTAATGACATACGATTCCTCACTGACAGATTTAACAGCATCAATAAGGCCTCTCTGTCCATTGCAGCAAATTGATCCTACATGACACTGACAAGGGCAGTCTGCACTTAATGACCTCCATCACTGAAGGATAGAAATGAAAAATGATTGAAAGTACAAATAAATCTTTGAAAGTTTCCCTGAAACAGGTGTGCTAAAAGTGGTTGGTCTGAGGGAGCATCACAAACATAAACCCCATCTCCTAGCACGCCCCACTGTCTGTTCATACCCAGGTCTCACTCCTCAGACACTGAATCAAATTTGCTCTCAGTCCAAAAATGACATAAAGACAATTTTGTTCTTACTATGCACATATGATGTTAGAAATCTTTCTTAAAGGCATGAGGTTTTCACTACTTACACAGGTATCTAATACATTTGTTATTTGCCAGCAAAGGATTCTATACAAACTGATAACAAATATACGTACAATTCATTTTTTTTGCCCCCTGGATAGAAAAGGAAATGCAGTATAGCCATTGATTATGTTCCCCTCCTCAATTCTCAGCAACAAATAGAACATGTTTAACCTCAACAACATTGTCACATGCATGGAGTGATTGGACAAATGCTCCATTGATGCCCTTTCTTTGAATCCTGCACACTGGTTTGAAGAAATTAAGAGTTTGGCATATAGTTGAATTCTCAATTCTTTCCCAAAGATGTTTATTTCTTGATCTACCTTGATCTTGCTACTACTTCAATAAACATTTTTAAAGGAAAAAATATACACTGTCTCTCAATATATTTAGAAACATTAACTCGTGTTAAGAGTAGATGGATGAGAAGCATAAGGGAGTTTATAAGCAGCATACCAGATGAATGTAATAGTTATTTACAGTTGCATAGTATTCCTTTTTATTTTGCAAGTAACTATGAATGTATCTCTTTTATTCCTTATCAGTTTTCTTCTGAGATAGATCTTATTTTACAGGTAACAAAACTGATGTTGGAAAGGGTAAATTACTTGCCAAGGTCACTGAGCTAGTATTGGTAGAGCTTGCGCTCAAATCCTGGCCTTCCATCTTCCCAATATTCCATAATAATAAGGGATAAATATTGTATTGAAATTTTATACTACTTTATAATATAGTAATATGGTAACAACAATAGTAGAAAGGATCCATTAGCAGTTCGCTGGTTCTTATGGTTAGATAAATTGTTAAAAAATAACCATGCCTCTCTTTTTTGAAATTTAAATTGTGGGAAGAAAGAAAAATTTAAAGGAAAATAATTGTTCTTGTCCATGAGTATCTGGAGAAGAATACAGAGGAAGTGGGTACATCTTCACACTCTAGTAATGAAGATTTCTCTCCCCCTTTTTTTATTCTAGCATATTGTGTGTTTTACTTTTCCACTTTCATTATTGCAGAAGATTTTACAAAGTATATTATAATCCCAGCAACCAGAGAGGGGCAACTATTTTTCCAAGTTTCTAATTAAACCTCATATTTAATAAAAAAAACTAGAACCCAAAATTTGATGCCCGTACATCATGAGGAAGATTTAGAGATATCTCATGGGAAGTTACCTACAGATACAATTGAAATTTAAAGTCTATGATAATATATGTAAATCTATTAACTATAAAAATTTGGTATTCCTGGTCATAATAGTTAAAAGCAAATTAGTATAAAATGGTGGAATTGGAAACTAAGTTTTTTCATTTTGCAAATATCCTTTCAAAATTAAATTTCAAAAGGTTGATAAAATATTTAAAATAAAACTTTACAAAAAGAAAACATGCCATAAAAGACAACTATCAGATTGAAGACTCCATGACTATTTGTTATTTTTATAATATATATTTCAAGTAAACCATTAATTAAAAAAAAATAAAAAACACCTACCTGTTTCTTATCTCTAATTGAAGCATCAAGTGATAACTGTCTATCACACAGGTTGAAATATTTGTCCTTTTCTGTTAAGAAAGTCATCTGTAATTTTTGATACTCTTGAGCTAAACGTAGATTTTCTTCTAGTGAATCATCTTGTATTTTCTGGAAGATAAATATATACACATATTTAATTGAAATAATTTTTTAAAATTATTTTTTATTGTGAAATACATTTTTAGAATTAGTTTCAGCTGTATGACACAGTGCAATAGTTATACTTTTTACCCCTCTAAGTGACAACCTCCCCTCCCCCAATCTGCCACCCCACTTCCCCCCAATATCATACATATCTATTACAATTCCCTTGACTCCACTCCCACACTATACTCCACGTCCCATGACTATATATATTCACTTATAGTTGACATACAATATTATACAACATCAGCTTCAGGTGTACAGTGCAGTGATCAAGCCTCTTCCCCATCCATGATGCCCTAACAAGACATGTGACCACCTGACACCCCACAAAATATTCACAACACCATCAATTACATTCCTCGAACTGTCTTCCACAACCCTGTGGCAACACTGCAGCTACGTATTTATGCTGTCTAACCCTTTCCCCTTCTCCCTTATCCCCACCCCCTCCCAACTAGCAGCCATCAGTTGTTCCTCTATATCTCTGAGACCACTTCTCTTTACTTTCTTCGTTCAGTTTTTTAGATTCCACATATAAGTGAAATCATATGGTATTTGTCTTTCTCCGACTGACTTATTTCACTTAACATAATAGTCTCTAAGTCCATCCATATCATCCCAAATGGTATGATTTCATTCTTCTTTATAGCAGAGTAATACTCCATAGTATAAATGTACCACAGTTTCTTAATCCAGTCATCTACCGATGGACATTTCAGTTGTTTCCAAGTCTTGGCTATTGTGAATGGTGCTGCAATAAACATAGGGGTACATATATTTTTTCGAATTAGCATCTTGGGTTTCTCTGGATAGATACCCAAGAGTGGAATTGGGTCATACGATACTTCCATTTCCAGTTTTTTGAGATACCTCCATACTGATTTCTATAATGTCTGCACCAATCTGTAGTCCCACCAACAGTGCACCAGGGTTCCCTTTTCTCCACAGCCTCACCAGCACTTGTTGTTTGTTGATTTATTGATGATAGCCATTCTGACCAAAGTGAAGTGGTATCTCATTGTGGTTTTTATTTGCATTTCCCTAATGATTAGTGAGGTTGAACATTTTTTCATATGCCTGTTGGCCATCTGTATGTCCTCTTTAGAGAAATGCCTCTTCATATCCTCTGCCCATTTTTTAATTGGGTTGTTTGTTTTTTTGGTGTTGAGTTGAATGAGTGTTTTATAAATTTTGGATATTAACCCCTTATTAATTGAAATACTTTTAATTTGTTTGAATTTTTATATTGTTTGAATTATCTAAAAGTATTATATTATATATTGTAGGAAAACAATGAAACCAAGATGATGCTTCCCCTGACAACAATATGCTCCTTGAATTTAATAATTTTCTTTCTTGATGCAGGGTTTTGGCTTTTTTTCCAGAACATTGATTCATCAGAGTCTGTCTAACTTTTGTTCCTCCCTCTTTTCTGGACTTCTTCCACAATATTTTAGGAATTACCCAGGGTGGAAGGCTCCACTCAGCATCCCAGGGGCATTCTTCTGAAGTTTCCCGACCCCTTTTTCCTTTCTTCAAGCGCCTCTGTTTAAATAGATAGAAGACATTTAGACCTTAGAATCCTATTTCCAAAAGGTTCAGAGTGGTGATACTCACAGAAGACATTCAAAACAGAGAGGAGGGATGGCTGAGTGGCGTGTTGGTTAAGAATTGGCTTGGAACGCCAGATCTGAACAGCAGGGCCCTGATTTGGTGCCCACATTAGGGCCAGTGATGCTGCGCCCTCTACAGCTAAGACAGTGAACAACAGCTCAACCTGGAGCTGGGCTGCCGTGAGTTGCCGGCAATGGCGTAGGCCGCAGTGAAGCTGCAGTGGGCTGCCATAAGCTACTGTGAGTGGCTGGCAGCCAGCATGAGCAGCGGACAGCTGGTGTGAGCTGCTGTAAGCCACCATGAGCAGTCGTCCAGTGACCGACCCCCGATCTGCCTCACCTGGAAAGAGCGCAATGATAATACCAACATGGGCCAGTGCAGCAACATCCTGCACAACTAGACTGAAGAACAAAATGAGAGCAACTTGTCCGTTCCCCTTCCCCAATTCCCTAGTGCTGTTCCCCTCCCCTGATTCCCCAATAAAATCTTAAAAAAACAAAACAAAACAACAAAACAAACAAACAAACAAACAAAAAACAGAGAAGAAAAGACTAAAAGACAAGGAACAAGGAACTTAACATTTAGAAGCATCCAGAGAGCATTATCTGTTATTAGTATACTTTAGCTACATTAAAGCTTAAATCTGCTTCTGTGATCAGCTGAGTACTTTGTAACACCCTCCTATGACTAAATGAATATATGTCCAATCTAATACGAACTGCTGAGAATATAGCTTTTGCAACATTACCCATTGGCAAGTTGGGGAGTACCTGTCATTTTAAATTAGATGTATGAATTCAGTTTAGTTGCTGACTCTTTTCATGTTTCTAGTACAGATTTTCTCTGGTTCCTTCAAAAATATGGAATTTATCAACAGTCTTAAATATTGTCAAACCTGTTTAATAATTCCTCTTATGGGAATTTATTATAAGCAAAAAGATTTATTCATTACAACATTATTTATAGTAGGGAAAAGTTTTCAAAAACACTTAAATGCAGATTAATTATGATGACGATAATGATGATTAAATAACTAGACATAAAAATAACCACTGTGAAGCAATTAAAAATGTGATTGCCATTACAGCAAACCTTTAATATAAGTTGTTAAAATATATATACACTGTGGTATGAGAATGTGCATAGAGGAAATGTAATTCAGTAGAAAATTGCCTGTACAAATATTTCTGTATTTACACACTTGAAAATTTATAAGGTCAACAAACATATTTCTCATACATGCCTGTATCCATATTGATCCCTAATGATTAATACTATGTCATAGCTGTTCTTCAAAAAGCCAAAATGATGAACTGAAAACTATTTTACATGTCCTTGTCCTAACTCTGGCACAATAATTTAAAACTTTAGAAACTTCTATCTAGTAAACTTGCCTAAAATCATGTAGAATTATCTTTCCATAGGAGGACAAAGTATCTATGAATATTTTTATTTTGTGGAAATACCTTCGAAAGTATGGTTTCAATTCTTTTTGATATCTTAACGCTAATATTAAAATCTAATCCTCAAGTGATTTACTTGGAACTCTGATAAATGTTCCGGAGGCAGAAGGAGGGATCATTTTGAGTTTTGTTTGTTTGTTTGATTTGACATAAGCATAACTGCAATGTCAGTATTCTACATCTCGATTACATTTCTTTCAAGCCCTACATGGCTACTGTAAGTGCTGAATTTGCAAGAAGTGATACAAAAGTGGTGGGATTTGTATTAAAGCTATTTCATAGAATTTAATGGGGGATATATAGTGTTTTATGCATTGCTCACTGTGTAATATGCAGTGTTATTTCCAAATAAATATACTTTTAATTTCTGTATGACAGCAATCCTTATTGTTTTATATACCATCATTAGAGTCAATACCAAGAAATTAAATTGTGTAGTTATACCAATGAATCCTCAAAACATTTATATCAGTCATGATATTTTACATTATCATTTCCTAATAATGAAAATATAGAAGGATTTGCCAATTCACTACTTATTCTTCAAAGTCAGTGACCTTCAGATGTGCAACGAAGTTTAAGTTTTTTTAATTTTAAATAATGGTATTCTGCTGACACTGAAAATGTTTTCTTTTTATGTTTCACTGTGGTTTCACCTCACAACTCTGACTGCTTTAATTTTAACCAATAGCATTATAACATGCAAATGAAACAAGAAGGACTGATAATTATTGGTGAAAATATTTCCAGAGGAAACAATGCTACCACTACTAGAGCTGAAGATCTTATAAAAGAATAGCAATGGAAGATATTTAATAAAGGCACAAAAGTTGGGGTTGGCAATATAACAAAAGGATGAGAAGAAAGAAGGAACTAATAAGAGCAGCAAGATGATGACTTTCACGTGCTTTTAAATTAAAATCTAGTTGTCTTATCAGTAGAATCTTTCTATTTGTAGAATCTTTCTATTATCTATCAGTATATAATCTATATAAACCATAAGTATATAAAATATATAACTATATAAGCCCTATAATCTATCAGTAGAATCTTTCTATTATCTTGGCTAAATGTGAACTTGAAAAAAATGTTGTTTCTAAAACCATTAAGAAAAACTTGATTGCAATCTGTGTAGGTTCAAATAACTGTACTCTCAGTTAATTTGCAATATCATTTCATTCATTTGTTCACTTATTTGTGCATTTTCATTCAGTTACTCAGAACTTTTTATTGAGTGACAACAGTATGACAAGCTCTGGGAGATAATGGTGAACCTCAAGAATTTGTGGTCTTGTGGGATTATGTGTTAAAAATCACACAAATATATAATTAGAAAGCAGAATTCTAAATATTTTGCATTTATTTTTTTCCATATGTATTAAATTCACTGAAAGGTTTAAATAAATACAATACTTTCTCAAAGCCAGATTTGTTGGTATTTATTCAATTTCCATTATTAATGATTATCAAGATGATGAAACATTGGAAATAAGGCTTAAAGAGAAGAGACATGGTCAGTATTTGTTAGTAGTTTCCATGTCATCTAGAAGTTTGTGAAAAAAATACTTAGCTTGATGATGGTTTATTCTCTATTGTCTTAAATTATTTGTTAAGTTTTCATGTTTGGGGGATATTATAGCTTCTTATTCCAATATTTTATTAGGAAATAAAGACTATGTTTATAAAGGGCTAAACAAAAGTTAGATTGTAAGTTTCATGAGGGCTGAGACCATCATTTTGTTCACCTCTAAGATATTTTGCAGAAAGTAGAGCTGACAGGTTTTCAGTAAATGAATGAATACACAGGATACTAGTTAGGAAATGCATATATTTAGCATTTTAGACTCACACAGTTTATGTGTCCATTTCTATGAAATAACCTAT